TCCATGGTAAACTAAGTCATCTGCATTGCACACTTACTGTAAACTTTTAGTATGGTTTTAACACCATGACGATGTTTAAACCATCTAATTTTCTTTTACCATCCCCCTATATTCTTTGTAGTTTGTAGTAGAATTCACATTATATGACTGAAGTATACTGGGTCACCTACGCTACACCTACAGCAGCTGCTCAGCCATGGGAAAACCACATTCCAACTCAATGATCTCTTTAAAATGAACTATTTTTTCAGAAATGTAGCCACATTGTATGGCTAGGTGTTTGATTTTATATATCTGTGGCATTTTTGGTATCATCCAATACAGGAAACTGAGCTGAAATGAAATGTTTGAAAATAGAAAGCTTACACCTTAGACTTAACTTGCCAGCCAGACTCCAACCCCGAATTGAATTCTGTGTGAGTCCTTCTCAATACAAGACACATCAAAGTAGAACCAGTAGTAATGGTTTCGGGGGGGGATGCGAGACAATAGCATAGACAATGAAGGTAACTCAGTTTCAAAAATTGGGAAGCTGTGTAAAAAGTAAATAAGAACAGAATGCAATGATCTGCAGATCTCATAAACCTACATTTTAAAACTCAAATCTTTACATTTGTAACATGTATCAATTTAAGAAAAATATTTAATCGTTTTAAAATTGATTGAAACAACACATCTCAAAACCGTTGTCACAGTTTGCCACTGTGTAGTATCCCCTCTTCTTTGAGCAACAGTCTGTAAACATCTGGGAACTAAGGAAAAAAAGCTGCTGAACATCTGGGAAAGCAGTGTTGTCCCAGTCTTGTCTGATATAGTGTTTTAGGTTCTCCGGAGTTCTGTGTCTACTTTGTCATGCTTATCATTTCATGATGCTCCAAATGTTTTCCATTAGTGAAAAGTCTGGACTGCAGGCAGGATAGTTCAGCACCTGGACTCTTCAAGTACAAAGCCATTCTGATGTAATAGATGCTGCATGTGGTAAGGCATTGTCTTGCTGAAATATGTGAAGCCTTCCTTAAAGAAGGCTTCTTCTGGATTGGAGAATATGTTGCTCTAGAGCTTGCATGTACATCTTTCACAACTGATGGTGCCTTTCCAGATGCACAGTGCACCCTTATACCATCATCAGCATTATGCAGGCTTTTGAAATGAGTACTGATAACAAGCTGGATAGATTTCAAATTCACATTTGTCTGACCACAGAAGAGTTTTCTACTTTGCCGGAGTTCATTTTAAATGAGGTTCAACTCAGAGAAGATGGGAGCATTTCTGGATTATGTTCTTTGCATAGCTTCTTCTTGCATCATTAAGCTTTAATATGTACATTTGTGGATGGCACAGTGAATTGTCAATTAACTAGAACCGGTTTTATTCAAGTCCTAGGGTATCCCAGTTATGCCATATACACAGATATGATGAATAATGCTTTCAGCTTTAAGAGATGAGCACTTTCCTTTGGTTTGTGTTTCTGGTTTACATGTTTTGGCATTTTTAAAATCCTGGTTGCATAACTACTGTCTGATGTAATCAGAGATCCTTCAGATTGTGTGTTTGTGCTAATGTTGTTTGGGTTTCTTGTTAAAAAAAAAAAGTCTTTCAACCCAATTTCAATAGAGTTGAATTCAACTGAAAAGGCTCATATTTTCCCTTCAATATTGTTATGAAAAAACTTCAGAGCCCTAGCTTACACACTGCTTCTTATCACCACCAACTTGTAGTAAGTAAGTAAGTAAGTAAAATGTATTTATATAGCACATTTCACAGATAAAAATCACAAAGTGCTTCACAGTAAAATCAGAAATACAAATAAAATAATATAAAGCAGTGAAAAAAT